AAAATATCCAGATCAAGCTTTGAAAATCATCTGCACCAGCTTGGTTATGTGAATCGCTTTGATGTTTGGGTTCCACGTAAGTTAAGTGAAAGAAAACCTTCTTGACCATACTTCCACATGCGATTCTCTACTGAAACATAATGAAAACGTTCCGTATTTAAAGTAAATTGTGACGGGTGATGAAAACTGGATACTGTACAACAGTGTGGAATGGAAGAGATCGTGGGGCAAGCGAAGTGAACCACCACCAACCACACCAAAGGCCGGTCTTCATCCAAAGAAGGTGATGTTGTGTATATGGTGGGATTAGAAGGGAGTCCTCTATTATGAGCTCTTTCTGGAAAACCAAACGTTAATTCCAACAAGTACTGCTCCCAGTTAGACCAACTGAAAGCAGCACTCGATGAAAAGCGTCCAGAATTAGTCAACACAAAATGCATAATCTTCCATCAGGATAACGCAAGACCGCATGTTTCTTTGGTGACCAGGCAAAAACTGTTACAGCTTGGCTGGGAAGTTCTGATTCATCCGTCATGTTCACTGGACATTCCACCTTTGGATTTCCAGTTATTTCGATCCTTACAAAATTCTCTTAATGGAAAAAATTTCAATTCCCTGGAAGACTGTAAAAGGTACCTGGAACAGTTCTTTGCTCAAAACGATAAAAAATTTTGGGAAGATGGAATTATGAAGTTGCCTGAAAAATGGCAGAAGGTAGTGGAACAAAACAATGAATACGTTGTTCAATAAAGTTCTTGGTGAAAATGAAAAATGTGTCTTTTATTTTTACTTAAAAAACCAAAGGCACTTTATGGCCCACCCAATATGAAGGGTATCAGTACCTACTTCCCAGGATTCTACTAAAGGTTAAGTGAGGAAATACAATAAAGTGCTTAGCATGAATCCTACTACACAGCAAAAGCTTAATAAATATCTTTAACATCACCACCATCATCAATTTTTAAAACCAACTTTATTGAGGTGAGGTGCAGTTTATATACAATAAAATGCAGCCATGAATTTTGACAAATGTTGATGCCTATGTACCACAATCAAGATATAGATTTTCCATTACCCCCAAATCAGTATTTTAAAATAGGAAAATTGATGTCTTATCCAGTAAGAACACAAAGGTGAAGTCATGTGTAGAGAGACATGGTATCAACTATACAAAAGACTGAATAAATGCTAACTAGAACTACAAAACCAGGAGAATGTAGCAGAAGGAACACTCATTTTGAGGGGGATTGGGGGACCGGTAAGGTGTACTGCATATTATTGCTTCTGCCTATTCAGCAGCAATTAATTCTCTCTTCTCCTGTTAACAGCTCTTTGCTTGTCCTTTTCGGGAACAACTCCTCCCAACGCTTTATGTGTTAGGAGTGGGGCTGTTTCACCTCTGGTTTCAGTCTTGTAATTTCTGCTAGACTTCTTGGAAAGAAAACTCTCTTACTGCTAATAGTGCTTGATGTAAGTTTGGAGAAGCAGAAAGAGTCACTGAAAATGAAGACATCACAGAGGACGTTCAGCTGGAGTGATGGAGAGAGAGACCTTATACTGATGTCATCACCTAAACTGCCAGAAGCTGCCCTGAAGCTACACTATCCCTGGTCCTCAGTTACGTGAGGACTGATGAACTTTCATCAAAGACCAGCTCCATTCTCTAGCTTGTGTTCAGGAATCATGAGCCAGTGACCCTTGCCCACCTCTGATTGTGTGGGCTTGGAGATAACATATGTGAGAGTGCTTTCCTGTTTTCTACAAATGGGAGGTAATTGTATGGTAGATACAAAGTTAATTGGAGGGACTTCCCTGGTGGCGCAGTGGTTAAGAATCCACCTGCCAATGCAGGGGACACAGGTTCGAGCCCTGGTCCGGGAAGATCCCACATGCCGTGGAGCAACTAAGCCTGTGCGCCACAACTACTGAGCCTGTGCTCTAGAGCCTGTGACCCACAACTACTGAAGCCTGCGCACCTACAGCCCATGCTCTGCAACAAGAGAAGCGACCACAATGAGAAGCCTGTGCATTGCAACGAAGAGTAGCCCCTGCTCGCCACACCTAGAGAAAGCCCGTGCACAGCAATGAAGACCCAATGCAGACAAAAAAAAAAAAAAAAAAGTTAATTGGACAATTGAAGGCAGAAATAATATGGATTTAAAATACATTGATATCAAAACTAGAAGTATTTGAACTAACTGGTTAATTTCAAGGAATTCAGATATTCATCCAAGAAATTTGGCCAAATCGTGTTGCCTAAATAGTTTCTATATTTCATATGACAGTGATTTCTGGGCCTTAAGTGTTCTGTTCTGTTTGCATTCATGGCCACAACCTATGTTGTTACATGACTCATTGTTTCTTCCTTATTAAACAGGTGCCCCTCCCATTGGCATTGTGCATTTTTGAAGTGCCCTTTGCTGTCCTAGGTGCTGGGGCTGTATAGTGAACACAGAATCTCTATCTCATGGAGCTTATTTTCTAGGGAGAGAGAGACAGCTGCACCTTCCAGGGGCCAGTTTCTGTACTCGGTACTACTACATTCTGATTCTCTTCTGATAATATTGCAGAAAGTGTGGGAGGTCTTTGTGGAAATTCTGGATTAAATTCAGAAGAAGTTACACACTTGTAAACAGGCACATTAAGGTATATGTTTGTGTATGTGCCACACACTCTTCTTAGCTAGGTAACCTGGCTCAAGTTACAACTCTGGGCCTCAATTTCTCATCTGAAAAATGGGGATTATCCTAGTACCAGTCTTCCCTTGTAGGGACTAAATGCATGTACATAATTTAGCATAGTGTCTGGCACAAACAGCTTAACAAATGATCGGTAATATTTATCATTATTCTTACTAATACATATATGTTTATGCACATTTGCCCAATATTACTCAATAGAATAAAAATAAATAATTGTGGACCTCATTTTGTTTCATTCATTTAACATTTATTGAATACTTTGCCTTGTGCTAGGCCCGCAGTGGCAGATTGGTTTTTTTCAGAGATGGCTGCATTAATATCTCCCTTTCTTGTTACTTCCCCATCTGGAGGTACAGTCTAGTTACTCTCTCCTTAAATCTGGGCTTGTGACTTGCTTGTAGCCAATGAAGGTGGAAGGAGTGTTTGTCTTCCAAGGCTAGGTCATAAAAGGTGATTCAGCTTTCCTCGTGTGAGCTGGAACGTTCACACTGGGGCGCTGAGGCTGCCATGCAGTGAGGAAACTCAACTAGACCACACTGAGAGACCACACGGTGAAGTCCTGAGCCCACCGAAGAGAGGGAGATGGTCCTGTTACCATATGACTGCAAACATGTGTGAGACCCCAAGCCAGAATCACCCAGCCAAGCTCTCTCCCAAATTCCTGACCCACAGAGATTATGAGAGAAAATAAAGAGATCATAGTTGTTTTAATCCATTAAGTTTTGGTGTGATTTGTTATGTATCATTTAAGAGTCAGAACACCTACTTTTAAGTGCTCAAGATATTGCATTAAACAGATTTAGTTTCATGGGATTTCCATTCCACATCTTTCTCATTCTTGGCAGGTGAGGAACAACTATTTTCAGGGTTTTAATTATCCATCTGATAGCTGTTTGGGCCTGCTATCAAGTCTGAATTTGTAGCTGCAACTGGCAAATAGATCACATTCATTCATTTATGCATTTAATAAATCAGTACCTCGACATCAATGCCTTCTCTGGCTCCCTGAGTTAGCAATCCCTTCTCCACGTTCCTGAGCACCCAGGCCTTCTATCCTAACTTACCATGCAGCATTGCTATTGCTTGTCGCTTGTCTCTCCCACTAACCAGTAGCAGTCAGGTTTATTCTGTGTTATTCATCTTTGCATCTCTAGCATCTAGCCTAGTGCCTAAACATAGCAGACCTATGTGAAAAACAACAGCAACAACCCCCCCCCCACCCCACCACACAAAACCACCTAACTGGAGGGCTGCTAGTTCCTAGACATACAAATATTTTATTCCAAGACAGTCCCTATCTTCTAGGAGTTCACAGTTCAGCACTAGACACAGTGGGATCCAGCCTGGCAAGTGCAGTGCGTGAGCTGCCTGGATTGATACTTGTGGTGGAACCAAAGGGCTACAGGGCAACGCATTGGGGGTGGGGTGGGGGAGGAGGGGAAAGGATCCATTCATTTATTCCACAAATATTTATCAATCGCCATAGCACACGGTAAGCGCTCAATATGTTATTAGATGCCGGCCACTGTTCTAGCTGTTAGGGATGCGGCAGCGCACAAGAAAACTGGCTCGTGTTCTTGAAGCTCACGATGCAGCAAAGGACGACAGGCAGTGGAGGTAATTATGTAAAATTGTGTTAGGTGCCCAGCAGTGAAACAACAGGCGGCTGAAATTCTCGTAAGGATGTTAGATCCTTCGGCTGAGAGCAGCAGTGGGCGGGTTTTGAGTAGGAGTGGCCGTGAAGGGGCCGGACTGTAGGGGGCGGGAAGACTGCAGGCAAGAAGAGCTGGTAATTTTAAGGTGAAAATATTTTCTGCTCGACTGGAAGAAGGAGCTTGTTCCTAGGGGCGATGTGGTCGCTTGGTGCGCTCGGGGTTCCTCTGGGGCAGGAGGCTGCATTTTGAGTGCAAGCTCGATTGCCTGAAGTGTGAGGGGGACTGCAGCCCTAAATTCCCAGATTTTTCATGTTCGGCACATCTAGGCTCTTCCGCTCCCCAGACCTTCAGACGCACCATCTCGGTTGCGGGCGGGCAAGGTACGGGGCACGCCGCAGCGCTCACCTTCGGGTCTCCGGGTCTGCAACACCGCGCGGGCGGGTGCGGGCGGAGCTTGTGCTGCGGACCTAGGCAGTGGCGTGGGTCCCGCCCCCTGGGCCAGGCCCCGCCTCCGGACACCGCTGATTGGGTTATAGCCGCGGAAGGGCCGGGCGTACCCGGGAGGCCCGGACGTCTGATTGGCTTGGCTGGGATTAGGTCATTGCTAGCACGTTAGTGCGGTCCGAACGCCGGCGGAGCGGCCCAGGCTGCTGTGAGAGGGCGCTCGAGGCTGCTGGAGAGCGAACAGGCGAAGGAGGCGGGGAGGAGGCGGCTGCACTCGCTCGACTTCTCGTTCCCTTCCCGGCGCCGCTGCGGGTCCGTCTCTGCGCTTCCTGCTCCCCGGCCGCTCGGTTGCACGCCGCCGGAGCAGCCGCCCTTCGTTCGAGTCCCGGCTCGGTTCGGAAGTCGTGCGCGCCCGCGGACACCGCGCGCAGGGCTAGCCGGCGCCACACCTGTGGAGCCGGCGGCCGTCGCGGGAGCCGGCCGGGGTCCCGCCGCGTGCGTGCTCGGGGCTGCGGGCCGCCGGGGCCCCGGGGGAGGCGCGCCCCCCGTCTGGGCGCCGCAGACACCATGGGGCTGCCCGCGCTCGAATTCAGCGACTGCTGCCTCGACAGCCCGCACTTCCGAGAGACGCTCAAGTCACACGAAGCGGAGCTGGACAAGACCAACAAATTCATCAAGGAGCTCATCAAGGACGGGAAGTCACTCGTCAGCGCGCTCAAGAGTGAGTGCCCCCGAGCCTGGCGGGGACGGAGTTCGGGGGCGGGAGGGGCCGTCGGGAGGCGCTCAGCCCTGGGGGTCGCGTGTCCGGCTGGTTTTCTGCCCACGGGCGCTGAGGGACGGGTGTAGATGCTTGTAGTGGGGCGGGAAGGATACGTAAAATGGGCGAACTAGCAACAAGACGGTAAGGGAAAAGATCCGTCGCCCGGCCGTTTGCGTTCCGGGGTGGCTGGGAGGAGACCGAGCGCGAGTGGAGCTCTGGGGCGCCGCGGCGGGTGTGCGCGGCACACAGGTGTCCTGGGAGTAGGACTGGAGTGCCTGGTGCGCCGCAGCCTGCTGGGAAACCCCTTCGCGTCCACGACTCCCGCTCCCTTGGGGAAGAGTTGCTCACCCCTGGGTGCCCAGCCTTGGGAATGGAGTGGGCCCCGCCAAGGGGGCGCTGCCTCCCCTCGGAAAAAGGCGGGTTGTGCCTTCTTCGCTCCCTGGGCGCAGCGCCAGCCTGCTCAGGGCCGCCGGGTTCTCCGAAAGGCACAGCTGCTGCCCAGAGAAGGGGTGGGTGGGATGGTCTGTCAGCTCGAGATTCTCTGGAGTACTGGCAGCCTGTACCACCCAGATCTAGAATCAGGGTCACGTGCGTGTGCAGGTTCTGATTCTTGTGTTTAGCAGAAGGTGATAAGGGTGGGAGTACAGAATCAGAGTGTTCCTTTACTCTAAACTGTGGGCGAGGGTTTAAAAATAGAACGAACATATCCTCTCCCTCTCCCGCTCCCTCGCTCCCCTTTTTACCTCTCCCAATATCCTTGAAAACTCAAAAGTCTGAGAAGGAATGTCCTCGGTCCTCACTCAGAAAGGAGAAGTTTAAACTCATCCTTATAGATCCTCAAACCTTTTGTAAAACAATTTTTGCAAATTTCCCTTTGGCAGGGGAGAAATGAGTTTTGCATTCTGTGTATGATTTGCCTTGTCTTCTGCAGAGCCAGGGAATGTCTCCTTCTGGCCAAACAGGAGTGCTCTAGGGATTGTTGAGTGCCTTGGATTGTTGAGTTCTTTTTTTGGGTGCCTTTTCAGTCTACCCATTTAAAAATAGTTTGGTCCATCTTTTAGTTTTGAGAATCAGGAAAAAAGGCAGACAGTGGAATTGTCTTTGACTTTTCCTTTCTCTGTGATGGATTTCTTAATAGGTGGTATCTTTCAGCTAAGAAAGCCTGCATTGGCAGAGTGGGGCCCTAGCTGTGAGAATTGTCCCCAAGCCTCTATAAAGGAGATGTAAAGTCAAGTGCCTGAGGTGTCATTTTGTGAGCCTGTTGCTTCTAAAAATGAAGAGGGAGACAGTGGAGCCCCAGGGCAGCAAGTGCCAGTGTTTTGGGGTGAAATAAACATGGAACTTTGATGTGATAAGGCTCCTCAGAGGCAGGGTCTCTGCTGGAGGCTGTGACCTGAAGCATATGAACAGACTCTTCTTTTGTCAATGACCAGGACCATCGTTGGTTCAGGGAATATGTGACCCTGGTTTGGAGTAAGTTAGGGGCCCACATATAGGTTGGGCCCATGAAATTTTTTTTTTTAAATTTTTTTTGCGGTACGTGGGCCTCTCCTGTTGTGGAGCATGGGCTCCGGATGCGCAGCTCAGCGGCCATGGCTCATGGGCCCAGCTGCTCCGCAGCATGTGGAATCTTCCCGGACCGGGGCACGAACCCGTGTCCCCTGCATTGGCAGGCGGACTCTTAACCACTGTGCCACCAGGGAAGCCCCGGGCCCATTAATTTTGAGTGACTCTCAGGCTGGCTTTAATTGGGCCTCTGCTTTATTCAGCAAACATTTAGAGTGCTTTCTGTGTGTTAGATATTGCCCCAGGCACTGAAGTAGTAGTGACAGTTCTGCTGCCCCTGTGGTTGTAAAGACTTACTCCATGCCAGGCACTGCTTCAGCCACAAATTATCTCATGTACTGTTACTCATTTTACAAATGAGGAAACAGACTTGGAGAAATCACTAGCGCAGAGCCACCCTGCTCTAATGGCAGGGTGGTTTTTGAGCCTCCACATGGTCTGAGCCAGAGCTGGAGTTCCTGCTGATGCTGAGCTCTTAATTCTGCCCCATCCCTCTTGCCCAGAATGGACCCCCTGGACCAAGCCTGTTGGAATCTGGACTTGCATTTTGTATCTCAGCCTTGAGTCTGAGGAGGATGCATTTGTGTGACTGGCAGTTTATTTGCCTGCTACTGTTCTTTTGGGGGGTGGGGAGGGCATGTAAGAATTCTTTGGGTAGGAGGAAACAGTGCAGTGATAAAATTAAAGAGTTATTCAAATTGGCTAGTGGAATGGACCAGCTCTGTAACTTGGGGGAGAACTAGGTGTTCTAATCTCTTAATATCCAGCTCTATTTCTAACTATACTCTTCTATTCTTACTACTGCTTGAACAGGTCATGTGACCTCTTAAAAAGGGTACAGGTGATTACTATTTACCAGACTTCGGGCATTGTGTTGTCATTAGGTGCTTCTTGCATTGTATTATTACTATATTAGTGTTTGTGTATTCATTTTCTTTGGATCATCTTTATCACTGCTGTAAATGTAAAGCCAGTGTTTTAAAAAATACATACGTAAAAATAAATACATAACTGTGTAAGTAACACTGGTTTAGATGATTTATAGGCTTTTCCAGCTCTAAAATTTTATGGTTTTATTTTGTAATTAATTTTCACAGATCTTTGGGTTAAGGTTTCCATTGTGTGTTAATCTGAGACAATAAAACTGGGATTGCTGAAGTTCAGCTAGATCATTATTCTTGCTACTTCCACTTTATGAAGGAGGAAACTGAAGCTCAGAGAGATTAGTAACCTGCCCAAGGCATCACAGCAATTAAGTTGTCTGATTCCAGAGCCTGTGCACTTAACTCTGAAGCAAAACTGTAGGTCTGTTGTCTCTTGATTCCCCTTGATAATCTGATAAACAAATGAACTCCTTGAAGTCTTTCCCTGGAGTTCAAACCTCTGGGCTGGACACATGGAAGATAAGCAATAAAATAATTTGGGACCTACATTTCAAAAAATCCTGCTTTTGGAGAAAGTTCTTGTTTGATGTGGTGACTCCGAGTCACTGTTTTCTGTGCTGATTTGTCCAGGCCTTTTCTGTGGGCACTCTTTCCTCGCCCTGATTAATCTGTGTCTCAGTCAAGAGGATTCTGTGTGTTTTAGTCCTTTTTTCTTTCTGTAAAGATGATAGAGGCGGGCGATGAAGTTCAGACTTGTAGAATTAAGAGTTTTCGGATTTTCTGTGTTTCATTCTTGACGCCATCACCTACTGATTGACTCTGGGTGAGTCACTAAGCCTGAGCTCCTCCTGTGTAAAATGGGAGTAGCCACTCTGACCTCCTAGGGTTGCTGTAAGCACAAAATGAAACAGTGCATGTGAAGAAAGCACTTAGCTTGAAGCCTGGTGCATAGCATTGCTCAATTAATGATAGCTGTTACGATCTTCCAGCATTCAGGGTTGTCAAGACTTGGAGCAAGAGTCGCTCAGAGCAGAATTGTCCATCCAAATGAACAGTTTTTTGATTTGGATGCAAGGAGTTAGGCCCATGCCTTCTTCATGCCAGTTGTTGGTAACTTACACAGTTGTGTATGTATTAACCACTGGTGGGAAGAAGCCTGGTAATCCTATTTGTATAAAGTCATGGTTATGACGAAAAAGCCCCACAAGTTAAAGACAAAAAATAAAAAAGTCTCTCAACATCTCTGTTGTTCCTAATAACATTCTGATAGCTTAAATTTTCCATCTTCTTGCTAGATTAACCCCTCTACCCCCCCGCCCCCCCCCGTCATCCAGTGGCTGAGCTGGCTGCCTCTCTTTGCCTTGCAGGAAAAGCGTGCAGAATGCACTGGACTTCATGTCTGGCTGTCTCATGGACTCGATGGCAAACCAAATGTGGTTTCACAGAACTGAAAGTGAATTAGGCTGTTGGTTTTGAGAGGTGATGTGGGTTTTCAGGAACTGTGTTTCTTTCCACCTTCAGAGTTGGTTTATGGACTTGCTGCTGGGGATATACCCCTTTAAGTTTGACTTCTTTCTGAGACAGAGTGAGTTCTCTTATTTTGATAGTCTTAGGTGGGAGGAGTGGGGCAGGAATGCACATTTTAGAATATCTTTATTGAGATATAATTTGCCTTAGTATACTGTTCACTCACTTAAAGCATCCAGTTCAATGGTTTTTAGTACATTCGCAGAGCGGTACAGCTATCACCACAGTCAGTCTGAGAACATTTTCATTGCCCCCAAAAGAAATCCCGTTCCCATAAGCAGTCATTCCCCACCATTTGCTCCCAACTCCTCCTTCCCCATCCTCCCGCCCTCCAGCCCTAGTCAACCACTAATGTACTTTCTGTCTCTGTGGATTTGCCCCTTCTGGATATCAGAAGTGTAATTTTAATAGTTTTCTCTTAGATGGTGGTGGGCATCTTGAGGCACAGTTTTCTTGATTGGAATTTCAGGTGGGAAACTTTGAACCCATAAGCTGCTCTTCTTCAGTGGGGTTTAAGTAGAGGTGGAGTCCCAAAGACTGAACCATGTCCTAGGGAAAACCCAGGTGTCTCATGAGGGGGAGGGGATGGATTCATTCTAGTTCATGGTACTTTGAAGGACGCAGGGGAGACTACTGAAACAAGACCAAGGATCCAACCACTTCTGTCAGTGAGCTTTTCAGTCAAGTTGGGGCAGGGTGTGTGATACTGAAAAAAGCCTTACTCTGCGGTTGGTAGCCTGCCGGGAGACACTTTTTTTTTTTTTTTTTTTTTTTTACAAAAAAACTATGAGACCATAGTTTTCATGAGACTTTTTGGGGATGACATGCCTTTTTCATTGTATTCGCGGAGGTTAGTAATTCTGACCTGCATCACATCTCCAAGGCAACCACAGAGAATTTTAACAGAAATAAGTAGTTTTATAAGAATGCCAGCAAAAACCACAACAATAAATTTTAGCTGCTGTTTGTCTGTCAATAATCAAA